TGGTGTGTGTGTGTGTGTGGGTGTGGGTGTGGTATGTGGGTGTGGGTGTGGGTGTGGGTGTGGGTGTGTGGGTGTGTGTGTGTGTGTGTGTGTGTGTGTGTGTGTGAACCATGCAACACTATACATAATAAGGATACCTTCTGAAAGAATATATCACTGCGCAGTGTTTCCATAATTATAACCAATAACAGTAATGATTATTATAATAAATGACAATATTAATTACAATTAAAGCAATTGCAAACAGGAAAAAGAACGTCAGTAGAGTGTTACACAGGTGACGGAAGAAATACTGCTGAATACTGTCTCTGGATACAGTTTTTGGGATACGATGCAGAGGCTGCCTTCCAGGAATGTTGATACATGACATTGAAAACGTTAACGCTATATCAGCACATAAGACAAGTGCATTATAATCTAAACTTAAAAGACGTAATTAAATCAAAGAAACGCCTGAGGAAATTGATTGCCGTTACATTTGATGGAGGGCAAAGACATGCCTGGACAACTACTAAAATATTGAGAAAGTATCCACCTTCAGCCATCTCCTGAAGAATTTTTGGCAGAGGCCAGAGGCCAGAAGACTGTTCTGTTTGCGTCCATTGGTTATGACTGGTGATTTGCGCTATGATTCTGGCTTAAATTACCCAGCCTTTTGTCGAAATCCGTCAGTGTTCTAGCTCCTCGCATGCTTCTGCTGCTGTCTGCTGCAGGTTTCTATGGTCACCTAATCTCTGATCATTTGTGTATTTGTCGCCCGCCAATTCTTGGCTTTGCTGGATTTTGATTGAGCAGCATTGAGAAGTCACTCATATTATCGTTCCTGGTATCGGATGCTCTTTTTGTGCTGTTTGCCGTTATTCTTGGGGGTTTTGAACTCCGTTTAAGGAAAACTGGAACACACCGGGACAAGGAAGGGGCATAAGCACAGAATATAAGTAACTCCTTGAATGTGAAAGAACTCGAGGCAGGAAAGCCGGCGAGAGAGCGTGTTTTTTTTCCAGACAGATCGTGATAAGAGCGACGTTCTGCAAAGGACTTGCTAGATGATGATGACGAAGATATCATGTCAAGAAACAGTACACACCATTTCGGTGGACACATTACCTCCGAAAACCTCCATCTCGCAAATGACCACATGCCTTTCGCTGGCTCTGACCGTGACAGCTACCATTTTGACAGGTAACGGCATGTGGTACATTGTGTAGACCAGATAAGCGCCCCACTGCGTGTCTTGGTGTTCGAACAGCGAGCTGTTATTAGAGTTGAAACTTTCCAGGATGAATCCCTTTAGCTTATCCGATTGTGCTTAAAGAAGACATTGAAAGTTTTTACACACATACGTGGATTTATTTGTTTCGATTTTTTCATCTGGATTCATTTCTTTGGGATATTTGCTATTCATTGTTTTGCATGGATTATTTTGCATGATCCTTGTGTATGCATTCTTTTTGAACGGATTTATTTGCATAAATTCGTTTGCATTGATGTCACAGACTGCTAGTGTCACGTGCCTTTGTGAGGGTTTCTCCCGATGAAACAAATGACACTCTGAAGTAGTTTTGAAATGTTGAGATGCTGCTCGCAATGGTCAATGTGGAATCCTGTGGCTCCAATGAACATCCAGCAAACTCCAGGGAGGAGGCGACTCTAATTATGGCACTACATAGTAAAGTAAGGTCACTATATTGTCACCTACAGAATGCTGAAACCGCAGGGACCTGAAGAGCCATCTCACTTTATTCTGGCTGCTGAATGTAGGATAGGTTGGATCTAGTGTGGATCATTGTCGACCGCGCCTCCACTGACGTTAAAATCCTATGCTCCAAGGACCTTATAGTATGAATTGGTGATTTCACTAGAATAGACAGATACACAACACAAAGGCAGTAAGAGTGCTTCTTTGGAAGCTCAGTCTTGAATAAGTTCGACCCAAGGATCTCTCCCGACAGAGGGGAAGATGACTCCGCGTCGTAGCGGTAGTTACGCCATTATAATTTTGTCTTCACTTTCAAAGAATCTTCGGCCTAAAGACTCCCATTTAAAATTGTATCTCTAAAAAGATAATTAGGATATAATTGAGTACTTAAAAAGGAATATAGTCACATAATTACAAAAGAAGGACTATTTACCTATAGATAAAAATCCAATTTTATACTGAACCTCATCTGCATAAAGGTGACCAATCCAGACCAGTCTAAGACGAAAGGGGTGTGGGCTGTCTCGTGACAATCGATTCCCTTATAAGGCTTCCTTTATACACAAATTCTTAAAGTAGGTCTCGTTGTACGGATTTTTTTGTTTGGAGTCCTTAATTTTGATAAAGCAGCTTGGATTCTTATGTGTGCAAACCATTGCATGGATTCCTTAGTATTTATTCTCTTGTATAGTTTTTTTTTTCCATATGCATCCGATACGATTCACCAGCCACAACAACGTACTTCTTTTGGACTTTCAGAGTCGACATGAACGTGTCAGACAGGTTTTAATTCCAGTTCATACACTCATGCACACATGTAATCTGGTTAGCGTCGTGCACTCTTCGTTACCCACAAATCATGTCCATACGTCGTTTATTATGTCAGTGCCGTCTTATCAGTGCATTGGTTGCCAGGCAATCATGCCAGATAATCATGTAATTAGGCAATCGCAGCTTCAAATAAATTGCAAACGAGTAACCACATAGTTGCTCCGTTCATGTGCCAACAAACAACAACAAAAAACACAAAGAATGTCCATCAGTGTGTCTTGTAGAAAAATTAGCATAAACCGCAGTCGAGCATAAATTGTTACACAACACATTAGGAACCCGGAGAATGAGCTGCGAATCTAAAAAAACCGCCCAGCAGTCGTAGCAAGCTCAGTGGCTCGACCTTGAGAGTGTTAGGCCTTATAACTCTCATGGGGTTAAATTTGGCACACTGGTCCATTGCGACTGAGCTTTTATATACGATCTGCAAATGATGTCTCGATCGCAGGAGCTAACCTGGTCAAATGGTGCGTACCAAAGGCCGGAAACTCCAGTTTAGATTGAACAAGCGCTCCAGCAAGTATTATCGGCGTCTTCAAAGAGTTGGACGACATTGTGGACAAAGCTAGCAGTAGATACAAAGGGCTTTGAAAAGTACCCCGAACACACCCGGAAGACTATGCTGAGGCTAGACATGGTGTTGCACTCGGTGGCAAGCGGTCACCTCGTACTAATAGAGCTGAGTGAACCGTATGATTCGCGAGTCGAACATCGACATCTGTACAGACTCGAAAAATACAGTGATCTGGCAGCTAGTGTTAGGTGTATTGAGGCATACGGAGTAAAACACCTATCCGCCAAGGTAAAAGCAATAGATCTAATCGCTAACTCCATGTATAATGTACTCAAGTATTTGAGCTTGCCAAGAAACGAGCATAAACGGGCACTGAGGAAAGTGAGTGAATCAGCAAAGAGAGCCTCGAGCTGGCTTTGGGCACAGTGCAACGACGTGAGGCGATAGGTTTCCGTATACTGAACAGCGTTCCTAATGGAGAAGTAAATTTCTGAAAGCCAAGTTTGCCCGATTAGCGACCTCTAGCTAAGTAGGCTAAGTCTGTCCCATCAACGCGTGTCAGATGAACCAGACTTCAAATTTTCACGGTGGCTTGTGTAGTTAGGAGGCTTGTTTGCTATCATTCACTATCGACGATCAACATAACTGCAACAGTTGTTGCATTATCATACCTCGACTTGTCCCATCAGCACAGCAGGAGAAGTCTGAAACCCGGGAGTCATGATACTGGTCGGTCAGCCTACCATGATCCCCCCTAAGAATGTCCATGATGTAAACGGGCCGAAACATTTGTTGACAGCGGACTGCTACTGAGGATCAGTAGTCTCCTGTTGTGCATTCAGCCTTCGGGGATTTCTATTTCTTACAGTCATCACCATGGTAGCTGTGAGTTATTGATACATAGTTCAGCTGCCTTCTCATTGTGAGCAAAATGCAACTGACTGGAGGGGCTGGAACTGAATAGACTGGAACCTAATGGACTGGAATTAAATGGAACTGCATTTATCGACAGGGGAGCTGAGTAGTTTCAAGGCATGACGTCCGCCTCGACAATTGCTTGAGATTCCACGGTCAAGTCCCGGTTAAGGGTGCGTTTTTTCTTTCAAGTGAACTTCTAGGATTTTCCCTTTTAAACCCCCGTGTTTATTGTGGCGAACGTTAAAACACATTTGGCTGTTGGATATCAAAAAGAGAAGTCTAACGGAGCTGCTATGGCACAATTTCTTGTTAAACGTACCCTATGTACGAAGTTCGTGCACTGCGAGGATATTTTTCGGACTTAGGTTTGAGTTAGAAGTAAAACGGAATACTTAAGGGTTACTACGCCTGTGCATTTATGTTGATTCTTTGTATAAAGCATATCATCATCATTATTATGTGCCCTGCCAACTAGGGTAGGCGCTCATGTGTCTCCACAGATCACGATCCCTGGTTGCCTGGAACAGCTCTGTTAATGTTATCCCTTCATGCCATCGTTTCAGTCGATCCGACATCATCTCTCTTGGTCTGCCTCTTACGCTTTTCCAACTGCTTTTTACATTTGTAACGACGTTCTCTAAGGTCTATCTTCTTATCGTGTGACCAAAGAACAGTGCTGGTCTCTTTCTTATTGGTATTTATAGAGATCTACTTTCATTAGCTTTTTTTCAAACAATCGTTGTTAGTTACTCTGGTCGTCCAAGGCATTCGTAACATTCGTTTCAGAAACCACATCTTTGTTGCTTCCAAATTCTTCCTAATTGGTTGACTGACATTCCATTATTCGCTGCCATAAGACAGAACAGGTTTTATGTAACATTTTAGCATTCTCTTACAATGAGATATCTTACAATTGCATAAGATATTTTGCATTTTCTTAAATGCAGCTCTCGCTTGAACTGTTCTGCTTCTAATCTAAGTCATGTAAACCATAAACATAAAGAATTTATCGACATGTCATATCATGTTCATAAACTATCAATAAATCACATACTTACCGTCTCCCCTATTGTAGAGTTTGTACCTGTGCACCAAACGTGGCTGTGACAAAGTCAAAGTCCACGTTTGTGTCCCTGATGAGTGGCTGCAAGTCTTATCCCTGGTGAGGCTTTGTCGGTTATTACCGTCCACTGCCAGGTCAGCTGTGTAGTTGAACTGTACGCCATTCAATTGTTCTGAAAACGTCGTATCTTGCGCAGCCCTCTCTTTCAGCGCCACATTGCGACCTGCCAAAGAATGTTATACATAATTCACTGATTGATGGAATAGTGTGTGATTGAAGCTAATTAAGAAAAATGTTTACAAAACAATAACTAAAGGCATGGATACCTGATCGCTAGTTTCCGTTTGTTGATGGGAAAGCCCGTACGCCAGAAAATTATCCAGGATGCAGATACAAAAGAACTAGTAATTTTGTTGTCTGAACTCAAAGGTATTATTGTGTGCAATTTGAACACTTTTGCTAATTAGAATTAGAACATGCCTCTATCTTGAGACAGAAAGAACTCGTATACAAATTACAGCGTCAAAGGCTGACACCACTTCTACCCATTAGGGAAGGGGATTACCTATTGAACGTACAGACCCATTAAATTTGTGCCATACATTTTGTCTTTAAGTGATTGGTCCAAGGTACATGTTTTATTTTTTCCCCTGTTACCTGTGGTCACTGACTGGAAAGCAAATGGGGGTAAAGCTCGCTCGATGTTCCATTGTTTCAGGTAAGAGGTGGCTATACAGCGGAAAGTAAACTGTCCGTTGTAATATCTGTACTTGCTTTAGAGATTGTCATGTGTGTTCTGTATGCGTTCGGGTTAAGTCTATGTAAGGTATAGGTTGTCTGTCAGAGGCCCACTCACGGGCAAGGGACCATCAAGGTCACCCAGAGGTCTGTTACACTATATAACCTGTATTATTACTATCCCTATAATAAACAAAACCAAATAATACGCATAACACCGTTTGCCCTTAAACTTTTATTACATAATAGCTATAACCCCCCTCCCCCTTTTTTTAACACATAACAGACATACAAAAACCTTCAGTGAACGGGACGTTGTCATTTTGATGGATCCCGCCATCTAATGAGAGCTCCCATCTTGGGAATGCGGACCCTCTTTATGAAGCCTGTCATCTTGATGAAGCATTCACCAAAATACTTTGATCCATACAAGGTGTACCCTATCACACGCAGCACCGGACCTATTTTTCGGTTTTTACATTCTTTTTATACTAAACACAAGATTGACACTACTTCCTTGACCACCAACACTGACCACAACTGATCACCCACGACCTATACTAAGAAACAGAGATTATTGAAATATCCACCATCGAATCCACCAGTTCACTGACTTTTTTAAAAATCGATTTAAAAGTCTAGCAAATTTTACATTGACCAACTACTGACCATCAAAAACATAACATAATAAGGCTTAAAGCTTTTTTTTTCCCCTTACATATATTCTCTTGATGAATCTGGATTTTTTTCCAATGTAAAATAAAGGATATTTTAATGGAAATGACCTCCAATAAACGAGCTATTGTATACATACATATATATATATATAAGTGTTCCTGCAGTTTTTTTTGGGGGGGGGGGGGGGGGGGTGTAAACTGTAGTTAAATGCATTCTTAATGATCTCTGTTCTACTGACAAAGGTGCATTCAAGCCGAACCGGCATTCACTAAAATTGACATGCCTAAATCATATGTTCTATATCCTCGTGTAATTGCTCAGGCCAGGGCAACCTTCCTCTTCTTTGCGTTCACCAGCTTGTAAACTCTAGCGAACAGTTTTGGTTGTTCATCCACTTCTAAAATGTAGTCCTGTTCCAGAACCTGAGCGTTGCGTGTGAATCCGTTTTTCTGATTCATTTATATGCAGACTGCTAGTTCCTTGCCTCTCAGGCAGATGCACTCCGACTTTAAAAGAAGCTCTTAATTAGTCGACTCTTATGACATGCTTTTCGGTAGGCAGTGAGCCAGGGAACGATGAGCGAAACTGTTTGTAGTTCTTTATACCCTTTTATTTGAATTATAAAAGATCACGTTAAGTTCCCATTAATTTGGGATAAAAGCCAGTACCACTAACCTGTAACTGTCAGTTCAGGACAATAACCTCCTTCCTCGCTAACCAAACGCTTACAATCCATTCTAAATGGAGAAAACACCCCTCGAAACCGAAAGCAGTTAGACAAGAAATGAAGAGAAAAGGGCAGAAAACATAAAAAAAATATAAACACTACTTCTTGCAGACGCCATTTTACACACATTGCGAGATGCGAATTGAAACATACAAAGCTAAAATGCGAATTACAACATCAAAGCAAGAGGAGATCACTTAAAACTTTTTTTTAGTCGTGTATAATAGTTATATTAGGGCACCCTCACGTTCAGGGCACAATCCTTGGTTCTCTGTGGGTTTCAATTCGCAAACAAAAGATAAAAACTAAAGAAAAAAAATGCACACACAGTGTTGCAAATAAATGATTCATTCTTAGCTAATGCTTGATAGCCACGGGTTTTGATCAGCCATTTCATTTGGCCTGTGCTAAACAAGGACATGAGACATGAACTGCAATGATGCTATAAATAGGAATAAAGTCAGGGTATGACTGGGTGACAGAATTAGGGAATTCCATAGTGTGAGAATCACAGGTCATGGAAAATAGCTGACTGCAGAACTGGGAAAGTACCTGTTTGCATAGGTTTCACGGTGAGATTGTGAGAAGACAGAACTGAGCAGTGAACGTTTGAATGCGAGATCTGGTGGATTTGAGGATGAGGTGGTTATTCTGTGACTAGATCCCAGATTAAAAGGAAGTCAAACTGAGTCTAGAGTGATAAGTATGAACGTGAATCTGTTTGAGAATCGAGTGAAGGTTAGTCCTGAACCGCAAGGAGCCAAGCTGTGTTGAATTACTGTTTAGGACAGCAGTAGTGTTCTACTGCTTGTTGGTTATCCCAGCCGTGTACAAGCCAGTGTCCATCGCCTGAAGCGTGGGTGGAGACTTCGAGCGTGAGCGAGGGGAGCTTGCCCGAATGGCGTAAATGGTTAGTTCTACTGTTGATTCTTGTCGTTTGTGTTGCATTGATAAAAAACCCTTGAATTGCTGTCAATTTTCGTCGACTGTCATTTAGAGACGTTTTACAGTTGAAGAGTAGAGACGTTTGGCTGGAATGAGCTGTGACATGACACATAGACAACAGAGCTAGTGTTGAACCGGCACGAAAAAGATTAAGTGCGGAGGAAACACATGCTGTGTATTTACTCCTGTGATTCGCACAATGTTAAAACATGAAGTATATTTACCCCCGCTGATATAGACTGAGCACAGACTGGTAACGGCTGCACCATTTATGGTCACGTTCATGATCAACTGGGTAATGTTGCAGTGTATGTCCATGGTTGTACTGTCCACATATACTTTCTTCAAGTTGGCACAGTTGACCTCCGTCGAGTTCAAGAATGTCAGTGACAGATCTTCGAAAGCCACTGATGGTAGAGGGACATGTGGGAAATTGAAATTTATAAAAATTTTAAAGTAACTACTTCATGATGCAAACTGCCGGAAATAGAAAGTGATAAACAACAACGAAATTCACAATTCATCATGAGGCCTAATACACTGAAAATGGCTGAGGCGTTTTGAAAGACTGTCATATGACAGAGAGGTATTAACGGTATACCGTGGGATCTGAATGGTCGTTGAAAACATGACAGACCAAGAAGACGACGGAGAGATAATCTGCAGACATACCTATAAACCCTTGGCGTCACCAACTAAAAAGAGTAGGCTACCCAGAGAGATGAATGGAAGCTGGTGATATAGGCAGCAACAAACCTCAAGGGCTCAGAATGCACTTGAAGGATAAGAAATTCCCTTTACATATTTATTCCATGAAGTTACATTAATCAATAAAACACATCGAACATACAAACCTCAGTTTTATGCTTAAGACTATTCGTAACAACACATTGATAATAACTAAATGAGATTACAGTGACAAGCTACGAAATGCGCGTATGAGACAAACAGGCTGTTTATCACCATCGTTGATCTACATGCATGAAAGAAATAGGGGACGAGTATACGAAGAACAAGAAAAGAAAGGCAGTGGGGATTGGGGTGGATGGGGTGGGGGGGGGGGGGGGGGGGGTAGGGGAGTAGCTCACACACATTCTACAATTGTATCCAGTCTTGTTTGCCAGAAATGAGTGAAGCTGACCATTATCGTCATTCAAAGTAACGACAGATGAAGTAAACGTAGTGAGGGTGGAAAATATTAAAAGATTAAATTCGTATTGGTACACACACACACACACACACACACACACACACAAACAAACACACACATACATATATATATATATAATTGATTAGCAGACACGCTAATCCATCCCATTCATAATGTTTTAATGTTGTTGATTTTTTCTCTCTATTTTTGTTTTGGAACAACATTTCCCATATCTTCTAAGTGTGTGGAAGGAGGGTCAGAGCTAAATATTCTTCAAGCAACAATTCATTACCACATTTATTATTGGGCTAGAGTTACATTACAGAGCAAATTTCATTATTGTCTAGGATTCTCCAAAAACAGAGAAGCCATTGCCACGCGCGAACGACCCTGAAAGATGACTATGGGGCACCCGATTAATTAGAGTGCTAATAAATCACAGCACTCGGATCAAATCCATTGGTACTCCATTCTCATCGAAATTGTCTGTACATGAGTATAATGGCTTATCATGCCCGTTCTGTGTTCAATAAAATCCCACGTCTGCTGTCCTTAGATTATGATTTCGGCTGGCAGCTCCAGACTGTGCATGTATGTCCAGTAGCATGGACATGTTTAGGGAGTGACACATCTTGGCATAATCCTATTCGCGATATGCATTTTGCAAGGCATTGATTACATTAGGCCAGACATTGGCTAATGTAGTCATCAAAGACCCAGTGTCCGTCTCAAAATATTACACCTTATGGAAAGATAGGTTAGGGGAGGCTATATTAATATGTTGTTTATGTTCCTCCATCACGAGCGATGAAAACCTCTTTTCATCCAAAGTAATAATAAATAATGATCCATGATTATGAGTACGAAGGTTGGTGATTTATCCAAAATGAGTCTGGGAAGATATTGAGCAGTACGGACAACAGATGAAATCCACAGCAAGTGTGGAATTAGCGATACGGTCCTTTCTAGTCTGCCTACATTTCTCTGCCTGTGCCACACCGCTACCTGGAATATTGAAGCACCATGCCTGGTATATGGGCACCATCCTAAACGTTCCTGTGCGGCGGTCTCCCATGTTGCGTGTTGATGCTAAAAGAGCTGAGAGCAGTTTTGAGAGTCTTTATAGCGCTTTTTCTGTCAACCCTTGGAGTTCTTTCCTTGCTGGACATCACTATAACATTCTTTATACTGGTAGGTCTGGCCTTCTGAATAGGTCAACAGCTCAGCACAGGTGATAATTCTTCAGTATCGTGTAGATTCTAGGCAGCTTTTTCCTATTAGGAACGGCAGTACTTAGGATCCTGTTTAGCCATTTGATTTTGAGCAGCTTTCTGAGACAAGGTATGAAAATGATTCAATTTTTCAGCATGGCACTGATACAGATTCAACGTTTCGCAAGCGCATAGCAGTACTGGAAGATTTACAGCTCTATAAACCTTTAGCTTGATCAAAAGGAAGATACCACTTCTATTCCAGACGCTGGTAAAAAGTCAGCTTAAACTGCTGGTGGCCTTTGAGATTATATCGTTGATCTCTCTGAGATAGAGTACTGCCTAGATAAATGAGCCTATCGACTATATTTAGCTTCTGATCATTTGCATTGACACAAGGATCATAGTAATTTTTTCTTCTTCTCTGATAGCCGGTTAACAGATAATAACATTTTATCAGTGTCGAAAGTTAGCCCGAAGTTTTTACAGGCTTCAGAAAATCTATTTTGTGCTGTATACCGGCATCAGATCTAAAGTATAGAGCTCGTTCGGCAGCAAATAAAAGGTCCCTAACTGTAGTTGTTTTAGTTTTAGTTTTAGCTCAACTCTCTTCAGATTAAACAATTTGACTTCAGTGTGGTGGTTTAAAGCAAAGGCATTGACAAGCATTAAATGTCTTACCAAAGAAGGTTGGCGCAAACAGACACCTTTGCTTTATGCAGTTTGAAAATGGAAAAGGGTCTGATAATGTTTTCCTTCTCCAGTAGTCTGGTCTTTACACCTTCTTGAAACTGCTGTACAATTCTGACAAACTTACGAAGACAGCCGCATTTAGCCGCGGTTTCCCCCAATCCTCTTCTGTTGACTTTATCAAAGGCCTTTGGAAGGTCTAGAACGGTAGAAAAGAGGTCGTAATTTTCCTCTTGGCATTTTTCTTTAAGCTGGCGAGAAACAAAACTCATGTCAATGGTCCCTCGCTCATTTAGAAAACCACATTTGGCTCTCATACTTTAGGTCTTGAATAAGATGCAGTGTAAAACGGTTTAGGAGGCTTTTAGCTGGAATGTTCCCAGCAATATACACAAGAAAGATTCCACTGGGATTCTCACTCACCTTGTGGTTCGCCTTTCAGGTGCAGATGTATTTTATCTGTACATGAGAGCTCACACGATCCATGTTGTTTTTGTTTACTGCAGAACAGGAGTTCCCTCCAGCGGCGGTATGCTAGCTGGGACATGTTAAAGCAGGCAATATTTAGGGCGCCTTTTCTAGCTCCTTCCTGATACCGTGGAGGAGAGCAGTGCTTTCGTAAAGAAAGCTGCCGAGTCGCTCAAAGGGCTGCTAAAGTCCACTACTGCTTATATCAGTGTACAGCCGCCATATAGCCTGAGCTGCGTCTGCCAACGTAAACCACGTCTGTTACTTCGTCGCTCGCCAATGGCAACATAACTTGAAAACGACTAATGAGGATGACAACTGGTTAACAGACACTTGCGCAACGACTTGGATTTCAGTACGAAAGAGTTGCTCAAATATGCTACCTCATTCTTTCGCCTGAATCCATTTTCATTCAATTGCAGGACAATGTCCATAGACCTGGAAATGGACCTAGTTGCAGTGGATGACAAATAGGTATATCTCTCTTATAAAAAGACGTGTGTGTCTTCTTCTCTTCTTATGCCTTTTTTCAACCAATGGAGCATAGCCGCTCAACCACCTCACGCCGTTTCACATTATCCTTCGCTAATGCATGCAGCTCATACCATGTAATCCTCTTGTGTTTAACTTAATCTTTCTAACTCCTTTCCTGCTTTTCAGTCTGCCTTTAATACTCTGGCCCTCTGGTTCGAAAACAAAGACATTCATGTTACATTGCCCTGTTTTAACTCAGTGTGTGTCCTGTCCAATGCCAGTGTCTTTTTCAATAACTGTTGGTCCACTGGAACATGTTTTAGTTATCTCCCAGAGCTCACCATTAGTGGTTCTAAAAATTATAACACTAAATAAGGCATTTTAATAGTGTTTGTTTTCAGATGTTCTCAATGTTTTATCCTCGAAAAGATTTGAAATAAAATTAACAATTGCAACTTTAGAATTATTTGTTAATTCAATTCAACAATCATACATTTCCTAGTGCCATAAAAGATCGCCTTGCCGTTATTGTTCAAAATCGTATGTGTGCATATATGTTAAAACAAGGTAAACCAGACCCCTCCCGCCACTCCCACCCCCAACAAAGAAACGCAACATATATAACGGTTGTCTACCCGGATTGCGGACACGGAGCCTGAGCCAGGTGAAAGCAAGGGGCTTGCCAGTCATGATGGTCACCGTAGCAGGGGCTGAGGCAGCAGCACATGTATTGTCGTTGCCATCTGTCAGAACTGAGGTGTTGCCTGGTTTGTAGGCAATGTCGACTGTGGAGAAACATGGCATGTCCATTAAATAAGGGCTGTTTCGAATGAAAATTATGCTTTATGGTCAGTACATTGCATAGGGTTATTGTCTCATATTCCGTTCCCCAGGACTGCTAGACAGTGTCAGAAAGGGTTGGAGAAAACATGGACTTCAGTGAACAAGCGATGGCCTCAGGTGACTTTCCTGATTTTCCGTGTTTTTGTTGTTGTTGTTGATGTGGTTGTTGTTGTTATGGTGTTCTTCTTCTTCTGTTGTTGTTTTTTTTGTTGTTGTTCTGTTGTTGTTCTTCTTCTTCTTCTTTCTTCTTCTTCTTTATTCTTCTTTTTTTACTTCTTCTTCTTCTTTGTTGATTTGGTTTTGTTTTTTGTTGTTGTTGTTGTTTTTCTTCTTCTTCTTCTTCTTCTTCTTCTTCTTCTTCTTCTTCTTCTTCTTCTTCTTCTTCTTCTTCTTCTTCTTCTAATAATATTGTTATTATTATTAATATTTTTCGTTCTTTCGCTTGAAATCTACATCTATATCTGCAGTATTGTCTCTAGTATGAATCTCAATGTCTTTTGTAATTCACTTAGCGATCCCTAAAGTTTGGCTTCCGCAAGCGTCTCTCTTGGCGAGCAGTCTTGACTGGAAATGTATTTGGGACGGTCTTGAAGGTTGTGATCTGCTGTCTCAAGTGCCAGTCAACATGCGCACATTGCAGTTTCGCCAATCTTAAATTGTGTGTACAAAGAAGAAAGAAGAAAGAAGAACGAAGAACAAAGAAAGAAGAAAGAAGAAAGAAGAAATAAGAAAGAAGAAAGAAGGAAGAAGGAAGAAGAAAGAAGGAAGAAGAAAGAAGAAAGAAGAAATAAGAAAGAAGAAAGAAGGAAGAAGAAAGAAGGAAGAAGAAAGAAGAAAGAAGAAAGAAGAAAGAAGAAAGAAGGAAGAAGGAAGAAGAAAGAAGAAAGAAGGAAGAAGGAAGAAGAAAGAAGAAAGAAGGAAGAAGGAAGAAGGAAGAAGGAAGAAGAAAGAAGAACAAAGAAAGAAGAAAGAAGAAAGAAGAAAGAAGAAATAAGAAAGAAAGAAGAAAGAAAGGAAGAAGAAAGAAGGGAAGAAAAAAAGAAGAAAGAAGAAATAAGAAAGAAAAAGAAGGAAAAGAAGAAGAGAAGGAAGAAAGAAAGAAGAAAGAGAAAGAAAAAAGAAAGAAGAAAGAAGGAAGAAGGAAGAAGAAAGAAGAAAGAAGGAAGAAGGAAGAAGAAAGAAGAAAGAAGGAAGAAGGAAGAAGGAAGAAGAAAGAAGAAAGAAGGAAAAAGAAAGAAGAAATAAGGAAGAAGAAAGAAGGAAGAAGAAAGAAGAAAGAAGGAAGAAGAAAGAAGGAAGAAGAAATAAGGAAGAAGAAAGAAGGAAGAAGGAAGAAGAAAGAAGGAAGAAGAAAGAAGGAAGAAGAAAGAAGGAAGAAGAAAAAAGGAAGAAGAAAGAAGAAAGAAGAAAGAAGAAAGAAGAAAGAAGGAAGAAGAAAGAAGAAAAAAGAAAGAAGAAAGAAGAAAGAAGGAAGAAGGAAGAAGGAAGAAGGAAGAAGAAAGAAGGAAGAAGGAAGAAGAAAGAAGGAAGAAGAAAGAAGGAAGAAGGAAGAAGAAAGAAGAAAGAAAAAAGAAAAAAGAAGAAAGAAGAAAGAAGAAAGAAGAAAGAAGAAAAAAGAAAAAAAGAAAAAAAAGAAGAAAGAAGGAAGAAGAAAGAAGAAAGAAGAAAGAAGAAAGAAGGAAGAAGAAAGAAGAAGAAGAAGAAGAAGAAGAAGAAGAAGAAGAAGAAGAAGAAGAAGAAGAAGAAGAAGAAGAAGAAGAAGAGGAAAGAAGAAAGAAGAAAGAAGAAGAAGAAAGAAGAAGAAGAAAGAAGAAGAAGAAAGAAGAAAGAAAGAAGAAGAAGAAAGAAGAAAGAAGAAAGAAGAAGAAAGAAGGAAGAAGAAAGAAGAAGGAAGAAGAAAGAAGAAGGAAAAAGAAAGAAGAAGGAGGAAGAAAGAAGAAGGAAGAAGAAAGCAGAAGGAAGAAGAAAGAAGAAGGAAGAAGAAAGAAGAAGGAAGAAGAAAGAAGAAGGAAGAAGAAAGAAGAAGGAAGAAGAAAGAAGAAGGAAGAAGAAAGAAGAAGGAAGAAGAAAGAAGAAGGAAGAAGAAAGAAGAAGGAAAGAAGAAGAAAAGAAGAAAGAAAAAGGAAGAAGAAAAGGAAGGAAAGAAAGAAAGAAGAAGGAAGAAGAAAGAAGAAGAAAGAAGAAAGAAGAAGGAAGAAGGAAGAAGAAGGAAGAAGAAAGAAGAAGGAAGAAGAAGAAGAAGGAAAGAAAGAAGGAAGAAGAAAGAAGAAAGGAAGAAGAAAGAAGAAGGACAGAAGAAAGAAGAAGGAAGAAGAAAGAAGAAGGAAGAAGAAAAAGAAGAAAGAAGAAGGAAGAAGAAAGAAGAAGAAAGAAGGAAGAAGAAAGAAGAAGGAAGAAGAAAGAAGAAGGAAGAAGAAAGAAGAAGAAAGAAGAAAGAAGAAGAAAGAAGAAAGAAGAAAGAAAGAAAGTAGAAGATAGAGAAAAGAAAGAAGAAAGAAGAAGAAGAAAGAAGAAAGAAAGAAGAAGAAAGAAGAAAGAAAGAAAGAAAGAAGAAAGAAGCAAGCAAGAAGAAAGAAGAAAGAAGAAAGAAGGAAGAAAGAAGAAAGAAGAAGAAAGAAGAAGAAAGAAGAAAGAAGAAGAAAGAAGAAAGAAAGAAGAAAGGAGAAAGAAGAAAGAAAAAGAAAGAAGAAAGAAGAAAGAAGAAGAAAGAAGAAAGAAGAAGAAAGAAGAAGAAAGAAGAAAGAAGAAGAAAGAAGAAAGAAGAAGAAGAAAGAAGAAAGAAAGAAGAAAGAAGAAGAAAGAAGAAAGAAGAAGAAAGAAGAAATAAGAAGAAAGAAGAAAGAAGAAGAAAGAAGAAAGGAGAAGAAAGAAGAAAGAAGATGAAAGAAGAAAGAAGAAGAAAGAAGAATGAAGAAGAAAGAAGAAAGAAGAAGAAAGAAGAAAGAAGAAGGAAGAAGAAAGAAGAAGGAAGAAGAAAAAAAGGAAGAAGGAAGAAGAAAGAAGGAAGAAGGAAGAAGGAAGAAGGAGCAGCAGCAGCAGAAGGAGCAGCAGCAGCAGAAGGAGCAGCAGCAGCAGAAGCAGCAGCAGCAGCAGCAGAAGAAGCAGAAGCAGAAGCAGAAGCAGAAGCAGAAGCAGAAGCTGAAGCTGAAGCAGAAGCTGAAGCTGAAGCTGAAGCAGAAGCAGAAGCAGAAGCAGGAGCAGAAGCAGAAGCAGGAGCAGAAGCAGAAGCAGAAGCAGAAGCAGAAGAAGAAGAAGAAGAAGAAGAAGAAGAAGAAGAAGAAGAAGAAGAAAAAAAAAACAGAAGAAGAAGCAGAACAAGACTGCATTTTACTACAACCATCCCGTGTGTGCAGATCCGTGTAAAGAGAAAAACACAATGTATATTCGCCTTTATCTGATGCAAACAAGAAATTTTTTTGGTGCATTATCATCTTCCAACGTATGATGGCTGCTTATTTTAAATGTCCAATTGTTTCGAGGTCCACTTCTGTAGAACTATACGAAGAACAGTACGTTCTGCCGAACATTACAAAAATAAACACATTGAAAAAGTGATATTTTTGTCATAAATTTGAAAAAAATGCCGTGTAGTGACCTCTTTAAATCGTAGAACAAGATAACTCTAAAATGTGACATAGTAATTAAAAGAAAATATGCTCAACCACGTCCATAAATACAGGCATTCTTAGAAAATTAAAAACATCAGATGGATAAAGTGACAAAAATTAGGCGCAGAATGGGCTAGGCAAAGGCAGCTTTTCAGAAGATGAAAAGTATTTTTTGTAGTAAATCACTCTCGTTAAACATCAGAAAACATATATATTGTCATGTTATATCGAGCCTGTTCTGTTTTACATCAGTTAATCCTGGAGTGTGATAAAACAAAGTAGGAATAGTTTGGAGGCAACTGAGTTGTAGTTCTTGAGAAGTATGTATAGAAAACCTTAAAAAGGTAAAATAACCAACATTAGGTGATTGGAAATGTCTAACGAAAGTAGAACATTACATACAACAATGAGAAGGAGACAAACACAGTTCCGTAGTCATGTTATCAGAAAAGGAACACTGTAAAATGTATTGATGACTGGAAAGATCACTGGTAGAAGAGGCTAAGACAGACTAAGAGAAATGATGGCGAATGACTTAAGACAGTGGCGTTGAGAAATATCATCAGTAGAATTGATCCAGAACACCTAAGAACGAAATCTATTGCAACGCATGAACGCGCACACCAGCTGGCAAGACACTTGATTATGATGATGTACCAGTGTTAGAAAACAATTTTCTACGAAACTACATACCATATTGGCATTCGGGGCCGAACCATCCACCCTGACACGTGTAAGGGCTTATGCACTGGCCATTGTTGCTACACGTGTCGTTCACACATCGACATTTGTATTTACACCGAGATCCAAACCAGCCAACAGGGCAGTCTAGTTTTACGTATAACACATAATATAAGAGCAAAACAATCATCTCAGTGAAACATTTAACAAGTCAGTTGCATTGTTGCAAACATAATGTACTACATATCTACGGTTGTTACTTTATGAAGTCGTTTTAAATTCATGGCATATTATTAGTGTTTTATAATAGATACATTATACAAGTACGAGTTGAGTTAAGCTGAGTCAAAAATTGACATTACAGCACTCTTAGCATTCCCATACATCCTCCGTCCTCATCTTCAGCAGCCAGCGCATAGTTCTTATACTGATGGTACCGGCCATAATCTTGTTATTTGTCAGTCTTGCCTTTCCTCTGAGCGTAGTGAGCCGACCAGACCCTCTAGTTACACCCAGGTGCCTCATTCTATCCAGGCCACAATAATCTTCTTTCTCTACTGATTACGATTCTTGTTCATAAAGGGACTTGACCACATTTGCCTTGCAATTTATCGATTCTCCACCCTGTGGTGCAGATCCAGCCAGTCTGTCTGCCTGTTAATTATCCACCACGCCGGCGAATCCTGGAGAAAAGATCCAAAGTATGCTTACTGCCCGTGACCTTCCCAGTGAAGATTGTAACTCTGCTCGAAGCTTCCCTGTCCTCACCTTTCCCAGCATGCTTTCAAAGTCTGTTACAATTACAACATGTGTTACATCTTGTTCTCTAGCCAACGATAAGCTGCAGTTACCTCCTCCACCTCCATTCTCATGCTAGATGTTGTGATGTCGTATGTAAGGCTGTATTAAACTAAAGATTGTCCATTGTCTTTCGCTACGAAACCCCAGGCACTTCTCTTTCCTCTTAACACCGAACCATCTTTATAGATAATCAGATCACCTGGGCTTGAATTGTTTTTAATCAACTGTGTGACTTCCACCTTTGCAGCAACCATTGTCCACTCTCTGCACTCCCGTTTCAATGTGATTTATATAGTAAGAATATCAAGTTACCATAAACTGCTGTCTGCAAGTCTAAATGGTGTAAAAGACGATTTTAAGATTTTTAGTTAGGCCTGTGCCTACTGTACAGCACTGTATACCTACATTATAAGTTGACACCTAGTTTTAAAAATACATTTTAGAGCTTAAAAACTCGATTTTTACGCCACAATTTGAGGTTTATATTGTTGAATTTCAATGAAAGGGGGGGGGGGGGTTCACTTTCAACCTATTTCATTGAAATTTAGAGGTTCATAAACACGTGCAAAGAGATTCAGGTGCTCAAAAAAAAAAAAAAAAAAAATCTGCATATGCCACAGCCAATGAACGTTACTGCCAAAGTGTATTGCTGTATGAGTTTGCCTGTTTTGCGTTGTAGGCAAGTTAGTCTTTGAGCCTAATGACTTCAGGCCGCATGTCTAGTGCTAATGCTACGAAGTTTGCAGATGGCATAATATGTAATCCACTCCTCACCCTACCAGAACCCCCATTTCCGATTAAAAAAAACCAAATAGGTCTCCCTCATGAGAACTTAGTATGAACTGTCGCCACTGTGGTTTACTGATAAACTATAGGGGGGAGGGGGGGATTGACACTATAATATACTAGCTAGACATACTCATAGCTGCCCCGTCTCCAGCAGCAAAAGTCGTGAGGTTTCAATTCAAACTGTTCCCGTAACACACTGATTATAATTCTTTATCTTCATCATCATTAAGTGCCCTGCCAACAAGCGTAGGCGCTTTTGTGTCACCACATATCACGATATCTGGTTGCTTGGAACCGATCTCTTGATGATATCCCTCCATGCCATCACTCCAGCCCATCCAGCATCATTTAACTTGGTCTGCCTATACCTCTTTTTACACGGATCATTCCAGTAGTCACGATGTTCTCCAATTTTTTCTCTTCTCATTATGTGGCCAAAGAACGTGTTTGTCTCTTTCTTTCTCTCGTTTAAAGAAATCTAATTCTTCTCAAATTGTTCACTGACACTCAAACAGCACATACTACACAACAGGTTCTGTGTAACATTTTAGCACACTCTTTGAATAAAGTTACAGATTTTCAAAAAAAATCCCGTGATTATTTTCCTTTCATACGTCCCCTCTTGCCTAATCCGAATATAATTCTTCCTTCATTTTAAGATCGTGTGCCATATCTAGCTTGTTGTTTCCCACATTCAACTTCTACTATGTATAAGGCTTATTTAGTTTTTAGACAGATTGCACATCAAACAACTCACTCGTTGAATTTGTTCAAATGGACAAACAGCCTCTATGCTTATGTAGTAGTTAAACAGCCCGATCTCTGTGCATATCTAAATGTAATTTCTCTTCCAATAAATGATAATGAAAATGTCAAAAAAAGGACCGCTTTTCCTGTCCTGAGACAAACTGGCTAGTTACAATCTATCTTTCTTTACCGACTCTTCTTATAAACACATTTTAAGACGATTTAGAGAACTGTCCCCACTGAAACATTTTTTGGAAGAGAGTTGTTTTGGGTGAGAGTGGTAATGGAGCATGGACGAACACCCCTTCAGTAAGCATGTTACATCATCACAATGTGCCCTGCAACTGGCGTAGGCGCTCATGCGTCTCCACAGATCACGCTCCCTGGTTGCTGGAACAGCTCTATAAATGATATCCCTCCATGCCATCGTTTTAGCCCATCCAGCATCATCTCTTTTGGTCTGCCTTTACTTCTTTGTCCAGATGTCACGATGTTCTCCAATGTCTCTCTTCTCCTTATGTGGCCAAAGAACAGTAAATGTCTCATTCTTATTGTTGTATATAGAGATCTACTTTTCATTAGCTTTTTTTTCGAGTATTTATTGTTACTTACTCTAGCCGTCCAAGGTATTCGTAACATTTATCTGAGAAACCACATCTCTGTTGCTTCCAAATTCTTCCTTATTATGCATATTACAACATGTGATACATGAGACATATACTTATATCACATGTAGTATGTGGCAATGAGATATTATCACAGACTAGCTGTAAATACGAAACAGCATACCAATAATGTTTTAATAGCCACTGCAGAGGAAGAAGGAAAGGAAAAGAAAGAAGGAGAAGATGAAGAGGTGGATAATGACCAAAAAAAAAAAACTGAAAAAAAGAAAGATAAATAGATGGAAAAGACAGAAGCAAAAAAGTTTAAAAAAGACAGAAGAAAAAGAAAGAAAGAAAAAAAGAAATAAAAAAAGGTAAGAAAGAAAGAAAGAAAGAAAGAAGAAAAAAAGAAATAAAAAAAGAAAGAATGAAAGGAATTAAAGAAAAAAAGGAGCAGGCAAATGAGGAAGAAAAGACGGAGAAGAAGAAGAAGAAGAAGAAGAAGAAGAAGAAGAAGAAGAAGAAGAAGAAGAAGAAGAAGAAGAAGAAGAAGAAGAAGAAGAAGAAGAAGAAGAAGAAGAAGAAGAAGAAGAAGAAGAAAAAGAAGAAGAAGAAGAAGAAGAAGAAGAAGAAGAAGAAGAAGAAGAAGAAGAAGAAGAAGAAAAAGAACAACAACAACAACAACAACAATAACAACAACAACAAAAGCAACAACAACAACAATAACAAGAAGACATGCCACGTTTAATAAATATAGGTCAATAGTTTATGCTATTTCTAACACATTGTTACATACTCTGAGTATATACGCTGATAACCATCAGAACACAGGATAAACAGAATACATCTGTGATACCATGGCGTCTCATGACACCATTTGTGAGTTTGTTTCATATGTCCTGATAAAATTGCGACTGTGACAAGGAAAAAGGATGAAACAATAAAAAGTGTAAGAGGAATACATACTTTATACATAAACATTATCATAACTGACTCAGTCGGTAAACTGCAACTCATACTAAATTCGCTGTTTTTTGGAAGCTAGTGAGCAGTGCTGAGGAACAAATTGCCATCTGAGGAGAAAAGCACTGCAAGGAGTTACAAAGGGATCTGTCCGACGCTTGACATTCAGGGGAAAGGCGAGATGTATATGCAATCAGGCAGTTACTGATACTATCTGAATTTTAACGTTTCGCTTGCTGCTGAAGATGGGGTCGGAGCTCTTATGGTGGTGTCCTGTGTGTAGTGATGTCGATTCCTTATTCAGCATTCAACATTCACTGTGGTGTTCAATAAAAAGAACAATTGTTTTTTTTTTTTTTCTATTCCGCTTTTTTTTTCAAATGCATGCATGTATCAAACATTCATATTACTGCACCCAAGGCATTTACATGCTCGGTCCATTTCTTTTGCAACCAACGAAAAGCCGACTCTGTTGCCCCCCCCCCCCCCATTTTCCCCATGTGTTGAATATCTACTAAAACCTCCACTGCCCACATCACCGCTCTGCTTTGAATTAGTCTTCCAGTGTGTGTATTTTCTGTTCTCTTACACTATCTATGCGTATCGAAAAGTAGCCCATCATCCAGAGGAGTGGTAGCAGCCAATCTCTCAGACTGTTCTTCAACTTGCACACCTAAATAGTCTATGTAGATAATCTACGATATACCTCTGATATGAATCTTTTCAACGGATGCAAGCTAGTCTGCTTACAGAACGCTTTTCAATTTCCTGAAGCATGCTCGGTGAGTCTTGTACAATTACAACATGTCGGGCTGTGCTGTCATCAAACCACGGAGAGACGGTAAAGACAGACATATTTTAACTAGCAAACGTGCCTCACGACAGGAAAAGCAGTCCTTATTTTACATTTTTATCATCATCGATTGGGAGACATGCTACATTTAGAAATTCACATAGATCGGCTGCCTTAATACTACATAGGGATAGATGCTGTTTGTCGACTTCAACTACTTCAACGAGTGAGTTGTTGAATGTGCAATTAAGACGATCTGTTGAATTACTAAATTAGCCACTCAAATAGTGGACTGTGGGAAACAACTAGATATGCCACACGATCTTGTCAAAGTCCAAGTCCTTTTGAGAAAAAAAAAAGAAAAACTCGACCGCTTTCTGACTGCTGCTAGTTAGCCGAGGCTGCTAGCAGTCTCCGCCTATATCTGTGGGCTGGGTTATTTGCGTCAC